GAAGTTACTGGTAATTTAAACTTGTCATATGAATGAATAGTGTTATAGCCTCATGGAGTAGGCAAGAAATGTCCCATTGTGATGTTCTAGGCTTAGATGAAGCATTAGTGTGAAATATGGCCAAGTCAGGGTCCCAAAGTAGATCAGGGATGTAAAAACATATAATGAAAAGAATGTTACAGGCCTTGTAAAGAATTACTAAAGAATTTGTATTATTTTGTTTAGAGTAGATAAATTTGAGGGTATACTAATTGGCTGAGGACATTTTGTAAGACTGACAACCACAGTGGGGATTTTCCTTTTAAGGTGTTTGCAGGTGAGCCAGCAGCTTTTCTGGGAGCCTACAGATATATTTCTCAATAAAAGTTCTTTCTGGCTTGAGGTGTCTGAGGGTCTGAATTCACTCATTCATTCATTCAATTTATTCATAGACTTTGCTTGTTACTTTCTCACTGGAGAGGAAACAGGGGAAATTGCCTTATAGTACTAAAAAAAAAACTAAACAGTAAGGACCGATAAATACCACCTGAGCCAGAGATTATTGGTAAGTTTTTCCCCTGGTCTTTCATATAAAACTATTACTCTCTTTAAACACAAGTTGGATCTCTGTGTGTCTGGGTCTATTTTAAAGTTCAGAATAAATCATGATTTTTAAAGAAATATCATGGTTCAGTTGTTCTTGCATGCAGTCAGCTTTGAGCTTATTTCCTCTGACTTTCCGAGTAACCTAAATGGGCATGTGCATCTAAAAATACCTGGAATTAAAATAAGCACACCATTTCACCAAAAGATAGACAAGGAAGAAAAAGAAATCAGTCTTCATATTTAAGTCAGTTAGTTCTTTTTTAATAAATTTGAATTCATTCATCAACAAGTTTCATATTGTATCTATCACTCAATTTTGCTGTTTTTTCATGTCAAATAATACCAAAAAATTACATCAATGTGCTTAAGCAAAATTGGGTTTTAATTTATCTTTACAATGAAATGAAATCAACATGGGAATTGATCATGACAGCAATCGCCTATTCCTACTAGAATAATCCTGTACTTACCTTGAACACACTTACTGACTTGTGAAGTAGAAATATGAGACAAGAATGATAAAACATGTTTATGGGGCTCACCCTAGGGAGAGGCATGTTATGTGAGCCACTCTCTGGGAGGTCACTGTTTACCCAGGTGTTGGGAATTGAGTATTTTGGAAAACATGGCACCTTTCAATGCAGTAGAAGAGGTAATTGATCCAAGGCACACTATCTAGTGTCCTGGGAAAATTTAATCCACCTGGGCAGCTCATTGCCCCACGATTCAATGTTACTCTGACCGATGGCTCACATAAGATGAGAGCCAAAGTCAATTCCATGAGTAACAAAGTATTTCACCAATTGTTCGGTTTTGCTTACATAAAAATGGCCAGAAATATGGACTTGTTTTCAGGTGGAGCATTAAGTAAGAATTATGAGATGGTTTATAATTTCAAGCCAGGAGATTCAAAGTTAGACATAGTCTCTTTTATCAAACACACCATTGTGGGACTAACACCAATGGGGTTATCTACTAGATGCTGAAAATGAACACCTACAGCTGCAATGTGCCTGTCCCCTTAAAACCAGTCCCAAACATGTGGCATCACCTCTGAGTATCTCCTGGGTGAAAATGTTAATTCCAAAGCTGCACAGGGGAAAAGTGCCTTTAATCTGAATGACTGAATATGTCAAAAGTTCTGGGTGCTGGCATTAAGAACACATGATATTGCAGATGTACATGTCATCTTCAAACCTAACAGGAATATTATCATGACATACTTTCTAGTTCATTTATGATTCAGGGGGGAAGTGAATGTCTCATGGTATAGACAGTGAAACCCCTCTACAGTCCTGGGGTCGGTGAACAAGAATAACACTTGTTTTAAAGATTACTCAAGTCTTATCAGTCTTTCTCGGTAGGGATTTATGTAGTAGGGCTCTTGAGTTGTCTCAAGTATATCTGAATATGGGTAATAACAAACTGTCAGAGCAAGGTTCTTCTGTACATTTTGAGCCCCTGTGAAGCATTTTGAAAAGACAGGACTACATAGAAAATTAACTTTTTATTACGTTCAGTTGTTGAGAAAGAAATAGCATTATATTCCAAAATCAAATTTTCTCTCCTTACTCAAGATGTCTGGACGTGGGTAACAGCCACCTCACATTAATGTCAGAGGTCTGGGTTCAGAATTCATCAATACAGCTCGCTCACTGTCTCCAGTAACTATTGTGGAGTAATGAGAGGTCATTGTAACAGAACAGAGAACCAAACTCAACTCTCTTCTGTCAGCACAGAGTTCTGCTTCTCAATATTTCTCACTTTTAAAAATGGAGAAGCTATAAAATAATTTTATTAGAAGAAAAGTAATTTTCTTCTGAAATGGAGTAAAGCAAACACATACCCAAGAATCTTAAAAAGTTGTTTGTTTTTTTACAGAATATACGTTATGTATTTGTGTGTGTGTGTATGTATGTGTGTAGTTACAAACACTATTTATAGTATAGCTATTATGTTAACTTCATCGCAGTGTCTACAAAGTTGTGGATCCCAGTCTTGGTGCCAAATGCATATAAAAAGCTCAAAAGCTATTATGACTATACCATGCAAATTTATATCCAGAAAACCTTGGTAAGTAGACTGCAGCTCTTCTGAGCCCCATAGGGTCTCTGCCTTTGATAGTTGGGTACCTCAACTATGCATCAAAAAAATGTTTTGAATCATTTTTCTCCCAGAAAGAATTAATGTCACAGTTCTGAATAGTATAAATTGTACACTTAAATCAATCATTGACTACTTTTGTCCATGTTCGTTTGCATTTTGGGGTCCCTCTTCTGCATGTGGAGCTCACTCCTTGAATCACTGGATACAGAAAAAGATACCTGAAGTATTGAAAGGGATAAGGTCTTCACAAATGTCTTTTTTTTCTTTAACATGTTAACAATGATAAGGCCACTTACAAGGTTTTTCCCAATCTGTTAACTTTTAGGATCCCTCATTGTTACCCATGAAAAAAAAAGTTGTCAGAGAAAAGCCCACGACCACTGGCTAGTCTCCAGATAAAAATGAAACCAGAGAGCAGCGGGTGGAAGAAGATGTTGAAGAAAGGTCGGAATGAAGGAGGGGAAAGGGTATAAAACTGGTCATTGCTTCTAGCATGAGATTGTGTGGGCTATGTTTTACCCGACAGTGGGTCTTAAACTGTGACAGACTCCCACAAATTAAAGGTTGTTATGGCTGCCAAAGAAAAATCAAGTAGTGGTCAGCTTATGGTGATAGCCCACACCACATGCATCCTCAGGGAAGGTGGTGTCTCTATCTATGCAGAGAAAACGGGTGCCAGCTAATAGAGTATCAGATGAGATTTTGGTCATTGGTTTAGGATAGAACAGAGAGGGTGAGGCATATGTGGCATGTTGGGATAAAATATTAATTTAGTAGTTCTTTCCTGAATATTTTGCTTTTTTTTTTCTCCAAATGCTTAACTTCACTGTGACATCTGTTTGCACAACTGTAGTCATTTCAGTTTATGGAGGCCTGTGATAGAAATATTGTTTACAAAAAATATATCATCTCTTTTTTTTTCTTTAGAAAGATCTCATCTAAATAGTAAGTTAAGGTTGCGTCTATGAAACCGGTGCACCTTGTCTTGTTTCTACGAGCTTTAAAAAGTCCAAATACTGATGAGGCTGTGGATCAGAAGGAACCAAAAGTGAGTGTGTTTGTTGTCAGGTTGCTCTCCTTTGCCTCAAGAGAACGGTCATGGGTCACTGGGTGATGTGTGGTGTGTACTGGTCATGTTCCTGCAGCATCCTAGTTAGACTAGGAGTAGTTGGATGTGCTTATGAAATATGTCAGATACAGAAATAAAGGTATGAAGATGTTTCTTGGTTTCTGAAATTGAACAGTAGAAGTGTTTTAAGCTTCAATCTTAATTCTAGGTAACAGAAAGTAGTTACATCATGTAAAGGAAAATATGACATTGCATGCTGCCATGATAGCAAGCATTAAGAAAGAAAATTTTGGTAAATATACATATATATGCATATTATGCAAATATATTTTATATTAACATACAATGTTATAAGAGTGATTGATAACATAAAGACAAGGGGGAAAATCATCCTAGATGGTTTTACCTTAGAGTAACAAATAACCTGAGACGTCTATGCTTTCTGTTAGATATCAGGCCTAGAAATCCATACGAGATGTGGAGTACATTTTCAGTGATTGAAATGTCAACTAAACATTGCCAAAACATGCCACTGTGTTCCTGCATGACAGATAAGCTGGATCCACTCCAAGTGAACAAAAGAATACACTGTACAACAGAGTACTTACAATGGATGCCATCCATTCCTGATGGGTTTTCAAAAGATGGGCATTCAGACATCAACATGGGATCTATCTAAGTTTAAGACAACAGATGAGCACACACCAGTGGCTCACTTCATCCACTAAACCAATACAGAAAAAGTAAGCCCGATAAAAGTAAACCCCATCACCAAAAAAGCTGAAAAGCCTTCGCTTAGTAAACAGAAAGGATATGAAGTGTGTGACTCATTTTAAACTAGCAATATCACTGTATGAGTTTTTGAAGATCAACTAAGAGTTTCTTTCTGATTTTTAAACTAAAACATCTAACTTATGATAATAAAAGACACATTTTGGGATGATATTGTGTTTCACGCCCTCATTCTCAAGGCATAATATTTAGACGATGCTTGTCCCTTTCAATTAAAAAAGAAAAAACTATGACTTTCTTTAATATGCATCCTGTGTTAAATTGTCCATAGCTGCAAAATGTATATATGTATGTGTATTTGTTTGGCATACACATGGGTACTTATACCTGTGTGTATAAACATATACACATACATCCTCATATACACGTGTATTTTATATATATGCTGAGAAAGTTCACATATATATACAATTGCGTATGTATATATGTGTGTCTGTGTGTGTGTGTCTGTGTGTGTGTACAGGTATAAAAACTTGACAGGCAGAGTAATATTTCACTCAGTGTTAAATGAAGTCTTTGAAAAATCAAGTACAGTCACTCAGTTAACATAGTACAGCCAGTAAACTAAGTTGAAAAGAGAAAAAGTGAATGGAAACACGATCCTGGACCATCTGTCTATGGCATTCACATCGGTTAGATCAGGGATTTTAATTTTGAGCTGTGAGGACCTCCTCCGTAGATGGGTCTTCTTGTGCGGGATGCTTCTGTCCCCCATGTGTCGCCCATGCCCTTCCCTAGGCATGCTCTGTTTCCTGTACTGGATTCCTGAGTTGTCAAAGGGTCTTGCTGAATTCCTGGTATCACCAACACTGCCCGTGACCTCATTCATTTCATTGTGAACCTCCAGTGATGTTAAGAGAATATTTCCATGAGCATCCACCTAATTGAAGAAAATACACATCGTTAGGCACCTAGCATGCCAGTAAATCTAATTTTCATATACAAACCCAGCACAGACTTATACCATGCAATCATGTTACATACATTATGAGAAACTGCACATCTGTCAAACCCAGCACTGTTTTCGTGGAAAATGTCATTTTGAAGACTTAATTACAGTTTAGAGATTTTATTTCCTCCATTTAGAAATTCTCACATAGGAGATTAGATTAAATAAAGGGGGCTTTTTTAAATTGACATTTCCTATTATGGATACAAGTCTTTACTGAAGACAAAATTAAAGTACAAATTCCTTTCAAGATGTTAATTTAGGTATTTTAACCATTCTTCATAACTGGACACTGGATGAAAACTATGCTTTCTCATCTTCTTTAGAGTCAGCTTGTCCCCCTTTCTGACTATACAAAAATATTCACACTACCATGGACAAACAAGCAAATACTCCTGTGATGAATGGACACTCCTGATGACTTTGATGGGGGTAGATACAGACTCCTACCCAAGTATGCTCTCCTTGCCCAATCCTGGCCCTGGCAGGAGGCCTCCTTTTTAAGGACTATATTTAAGATAGACTAAAGTCCCCTCCCACACTGGAGCCAAACTTTAAAATAACATTTTATTTTGTGATAAATACAGCTTCAGACCTTCCATGGTGATGTCGATGGTCCATTTGTTTATTTGTTCGTCTGCCATGAAATTTCCATGGAGCATAACTGAGGCTAGGGGTCCCCAGTGGAGTCCTAAGTGGTTTGTAATCCCCGCTCTGAGCAATGCCAACAGCTCTCAGGGCCACGTGGCCCATTCCACATTCCCCTGGGTCTCACTGCTCTCCAGCATGCTTTATGTTTCTCCACCCATCTTCATTCCTTTGCTAAAGGGCCATCTTCCTTGTCCTATCTTTGTCTGTGGAAACCCTACCCTTTCTTCTGGAACTAGATTAAGTGTCTGTGGCTTCTTCCATGAAACTTTCACAAAGTTAGTTATTTTGTGGAGGAATAATTTATTAATACATATTAATTTGCATGTTCCCATCTTCTGATACTTCTTAGTTTCATTAAAGGTATTGTGCTAGATATGAAGGAGGTGAAGTGTGGAGAGAAGATTCCCAACTAAGATGCAGACCTCTGAGCAGAGCCAAGACCACAGGTGGGATGACTCCCAGACACCAAGGTAGCCCAGACACAGGAAGGGCTGCAAACATCTAGGGGCCACTCAGGCTCTGGCACAAAGGCACCAAAACAGACTGAGATGTCTACCCCATGATTTGAGAGTACCATTCCATTATGCTTGGGGAAGGAGAGGTGTGGTCATCAGGATGTCACCCCTTACTCCTCAGATCTGTGAGTATGTTGCCTTACGTGCAAAAGGGACATTGCAAACATTGCAAAAGGGACACTGCAAACATATTTAAGCTTATGAACCTTACAATTAGGGAGATTTGCCTGGATTATTCAGGTGGGCCTAATCTAATCACATAAGCCCTCGAAAGTATAGGATATTCTCCAGCTGTAAGCAAGAGGGAAAGAGAGGTGTAGCAGAAGGTGAGAGCAGAGGGATTTGCAGTGTGACAAAAACTGGATTCTCTATTGATAGAGGGCAATGAAGATAAAGCATAGGAAGAAATGGGACAGACGCTAGGAGCAAAGACTGGCTCCAGCTGATAGCCAGGAGGGAAGAGGGGTCTCAGTCCTACATTCAGAAGAAACTGTGGTCAACAACCTGAATCAGTCTGGCCTCCAGAAGGGAACACAGCCACACAGACACCCTGATTTCAGCATCCTGAGACTCTCAGCAGAGAAACCAGCTGAGCCCCACTGCACTGGACTTCTGACCAACAGAACTGGGTGCTGTTTTAAGTGGCTACATTTGTGGTAATTTGTTGTGATAGCAATCAAAACTACTACAGGAGGAAAGAGGGAAGATTTCAGAGGAGAAATGCATTTGAGTTGGGCCTCAAAGAATGAGTAGACATTTTTCAGCAAAAAGCAGAATAAAACCATCAAAAGCAAAGGCTTGAAAAATGAATGAACTGTTTTGAGAAAGGCAAACTAGCTGAGTGGGACTTTGGAGAAAATGGGTTCTAGCACATGTTAAGCTTGCAGTTGATGGGACGATGGTCATTCTTATCACTGTCATTACCATCTTCCTAACATTTTATATTAAGAAAATACACCCCCCGATGAACAGGAATGCACATTAGAGTCACACCAGCAAGGGTTTCTGTATATTGCATTAAGGAATTTCAACTTTACCTCCCAGGTAGTAAAAAGTAACAGTAATTTCTAGGTAGAAAAGTGACATTCTTCTGAACTACAACACAACTGCAGAGTAAAGAGTAATAGATGCGTTTGAGAGGAGGAAGTAAGGAGAGGGACCACTGTTGGTGTGCACCACACTCCTGTTTCCTTTAGCGCAGTCTGAAGGAGAAATGCCAAGAGGCTGTGAGCAAGGCTCCCCTCCTGCCACTGCAGCAAATCCCAGCACTCCCAACACGTGCTGTGTCCACATGGCAGAGGCGCTCCGCCATCACCACTCATTTCTATATCTTCTCAGTGAAGAAGGTGGGAAAGGGGTGGAGAGAGAGTTGCCTGCCATCCTGCTCCCACCTGACCTCTTGGCCTTTCCTAAGCTCTCTGCAGAAACACTCACACCAGCCATGCGGAGTGCAGGGGAGTGGGGTAGGGGCAGCAGGCACATGTTAGCCTGGGCTGTGCTCTGTTCTCCTCAGTGATGCTGCCTCTGAACTAACTGTAGGGCCAGCAGTGCCATAGTGGGGAGACCGTGAAGACCTATGGTCTTCTTAGAATGGAGGACAGCCAGCCTGGGGATGCTGGGGAATGCAAATGGACCAAGAAGACATCCAGATACTGGGGAGAAGGCCCTTCGTGGAGACCCATTCTTGGGGCTAGGGACAGAGCACTGACAGAATATTAGAGTTCTGCTTTTGTTTTTGTTTTTTAATCCAGTAGAGGGAAAAATTCAAATGGGGCTTGCATCTCGACAGTACCAGGAATGTTAGACCTTTGTAAGAATTTGGAACATCTGTTCAGTATCTATTCTTTTTGTTATCTTGCCCTGGAATGGTTAGCAGTAAAACCCTTACCAAAAAAAAAAAAAAAAAAAAAAAAAAAAAATCTGTTTGCCTGTCTTCAGGATCAGTGAAGCCTCCAGTGGTTTGGGAGACAGTCTCTCACTGTAAGAAGAGATTGTAGAAGGAGAAGCCTGAGACACACATTAAGGTGTGGCTGAAAGGGAGGGGCAACAAAGGAAAGACCAGCAAAGGAGTGGGCACAAGCATGTCCTCTGTGCAAGTAATCACTCTCCCTAAGAAAGGGGTGATTTGAACCTAGCTTTGAAAGCTATGGGCAGCTAGCTCCTAAGTCAGCAGAGAGGAGAGCACCATAGGGTCAGCTGAGCTGTCCTTCATACAAAGGAAAATTAAAAGCAGGGTTTTAGAAGAGAGAACGCTCTTAGTAGTCTTTAGATCTCACCACACCTTCCACTGTGCTTTAGTCCACACAGGGGAGAACAGGATGATGAATGAGCTGCCCGGCTTGCTTGGGCATCTTTTTCTTGAGAGGGAGTCAATCAGTGTATTTTAGCACTGTAATGAATAGGTGTGATACCCTACCAAATATCTGTTTTCAAATCATGACAGGATATATATATTAAGTTATCACTTAAGGAGATTAAACAAACTGAGATTACTTATCAAATCGGGTCAATTAGATCTTATTTAACTGAATGATATTTTAAATAGAACTTAAATAGTAAGCTGAGGGGCGGAGCAAGATGGCGGAGGAGTAGGAGACCTGGATTTCCTCTGGTCTCAGGAATTCAGCTGAATAGGGATCAAACCATTCTGAACACATACGAACTCAACAGGTGATCGAAGATAAGAAGAGTAACAACACTCTGAACAGAAAAGCGACCACTTTCTGGAAGGTAGGACGTGCGGAGAAGTGAATCCGAGGCGATATTCGGGAGGAAAGACGGCGGGGGAGGGGGCCTCCGTCGGCCGCTTCTGGCAAGTGATAGAGCTGCGGAGCACAAAATCAGAACTTGTAGAAGTTGGCTCCCCTGAGAGACATCGCTCCAGTGGCTAAGCGGGGGGTGGAACCCTCGCGGGACAGTGTGGTCTCAGGACCCTGGGGGTCACAGAAAGACTGGGGGTGCCTGAGTGCGGCAGAGCTCCCAGGTATCGGAGCAGGGAAGCCGGCTGCAGAGACGGAGCCAAGGCGTGGGCTCTCAGCTCGGGGTTGCCATAAACTGTGATCCGCGGCCCAGTTGGGCTACTGCTCCTCCAGCAGGGACCCAACAAGCGGCAGAGCTGGGGAGACTCTCCTTCCTCCCCGGGGAGGAGCGGCATGGGAGCACACCGCAGGGATCTGCTGGGTTTGGAGACTCCACACGGGGTTGGGTGCCAGAGATAGAAATGCTCGGTCACAGGCAGGGTGAGCACGCAGTGCGGCCGGAGACCGGGGAGACGGGAGTGACTGCTTATCTCTGGGGGTACACTGAGGAGCGGGGCCCTGAGTTCTCAGCTCCTCCGGGCGGAGATTGGGAGGCCACCATTTTCACCCTGGTCCTCCAAAGATGTGCCGAGAGCTCGCAGGGAACAAAAGCTCCTGAGAGCAAACCGGAGCAGCTTGCTTAGCCCGGACTCACAAGGGCGGGGCAATTCTGCCTCCAGCAAAGACATTTGGGAACCACGGCAACAGGCCCCTCCCCCAGAATATCAGCACGAACAGCCAGCAAGCCAAGACCATGTTTACCGATCAAGGAGAATGGGAGAACTCCAGCGCTAGGGGAATACTGCACATAGATTCATGGCTTTTTTACCATAATTCATTAGTTTTTCAAAGTTAATTTTTTAACTGTTTTTTTTTTAATTTTCCTTTTTCCCTTTTTCAAACAACATCTTATCAATCCCTTTTTAAAAAAAAACATTTTTTATTTTTCATTTTTAGAGTCATATTT